GCCTTACACATCGAAAAAAAAAAAAATCGTGGGTGCCTTGGTTCTTGGCAAATCAATGGAAGCATCTTGTTTGGCGAATTGTGTCGGTCAGCTTGTGGTGGTCATCGCTAGGCCACTGGGTCACACGGCTGTGTGCGCCGGACTGTATTGGGCTACTATTGCATTGGGCCAATTCCTGAACAGCGCCGCAAATGTTGCAATAATGGGGCAAGTTGCCTTGTCGGTCGCAGAGGAAATGCATATGCCAGTCGGTGAAGTTGCAATGATTGTTACTTACGCAGCATCGGCATGCTACATGGCACCCTACGGATATCAAACGAACACTCTGGTGATGGCACCTGGTGGTTACGACTGGGCCGACTTCATCAGATTTGGGGGCATGTTACAAGTGTTGCACATGTTCCTTGTTCTTCTGATTGCCCCATGGTGTGCAAAGGTTTCACCGGTCGGAGCCGTGCCAGTTTGATCTAACTTGCTGAGCATGCTGCAAAGGCTTATATGAACATTTCGCGCATGCAGCACAAGATGGAAGCTCGTGCTGCAGCCGCAGTGTCAAACGGATCCACGGTAGTGGCCTGTAGCATGTTGTACGTAGCTCACGTACCGAGCTTCAGAGTGCACGGGCTGCTCTCGTGCTCTCAGGTTTGACTCCCCACCTTGTGTGGCATGCGACTTCCAACGTAGGCGCCAAGCACTGGGCCAGATGCTAAGTTTCAAAGCATGCGAAGCATCAGCTCCAGTATATCATTAGATTGAGGCCAAGTGGTTGAGGTGACAGCAAGGCTATGCGACGAGGGAGATTGGCAAGCACGTGCAGCAATCAGCTCGTCTGCAGCGGGGGAGAGCCCCAGGCAATCGCAAGGTTTGGAAGCATACATGTTCACGAGGGGGGCTGGCTAACCTGGAACAGATGAGCAGCTGACAAGACCGTCGCGTGAAGCCTAGCAGGCACCGAGCCGAAGGTTTTTTTTTTTGAGATTGTTTGGTGCGCCCATTCCGGTACAAACTGTACAAGTCTCGCCTCCTGGAGCCTGGACCGTTCTTGCTCATTTGCTCTCGCGAAGGGAAGTTGCAGAAAATACGGCACATGAACCGTGCTGGAAATAGGCAAAGGCAAGATCGAATGCAGCACGCTGAACTGAGTAATAGCATGTGTGCCACATGCTTGGACGACAGAGGTGTACATATGTCTTCACAAGACTTCATGCAGCAGTGGATAGGCTAAGGCTTGGGAAGCATGCCAGACACAGCGGCAGGACACGGCTTGCCTTCTGCCAACTCGTGGCAGACACAATTCTGTGTGCAAGGTTGCCCATGCACTGCGGCTGCAACCCTGCCGAGCGCAATCTCCAAGGAAACGCAATGAGCTGCCGAGGTCAACAAAACTGGCCGGGAGTCTGCATGATACGGCGTAGTGAACGTCAAAACGAGGCATATCAACCACTGATGCCACTTTCGAGTGGATTTTCGTCGGCCAATCCACCCACGGACGCAGCTGGCTGTGGACCAATGTAAAAGTACCCGAGAGCTCTCCATCTCTGAACACTTTACACTCAAGCTCTGATCTTGGGTAGCATGCGTCAAGGTTCCATGCATCAGCATGCAACGTTATTGAACAAGACCGGCCAAACACCACAATACGAAACATTAAAAGAGTTTTTGAAGCACAGTAGTACCTGCACTGGTCTTCAGGGATCAGCGTAGCGTGCTCTTAGTTTTCTGACACGGCCAGTGGCATCGTGGCACTTTCGGCCACCGAGGCCTGGATGTGGCTTTGCAGATGTGGCTTCGGGCTGTGAAGCGGGAGATTCGCTTCACACTTGCGGCTTCGCTCCCAGCATCTCCCAGCCCTTCGCCAAGACTGTCGTTATCGCCAGATGACAGTCGCACTGACCCGTGTACTGCTCGTGGCGCTTCACTGCCATTCAGACCAAGCCGACGTCATGTCGTCGAAGATGACGACACATGCAGCACGAGCTTCACTTGTCAGAACTCAACTTACATCTTTGAGCGGGCCCTGGAACTTCAGGTGAAAAGCACTGGAATTGAGGCCTTTCCCGCCCCACTTCCGTACTATGCAGCATGTGATGCGGATTGATGTCGAAGTTATCCTGAGCCAAGTCGACTTGTGCTGGACCGAGTTGCCTCAAAATGGTTCCAACTCTGCCACATCCCTGCCGGAAGCTGAGGGCTTTCGGAATGCACGGCCACTGGACTGCCAACTCGCACCAAACCGGCTGCATCGTCCAAGGTCGCCAGCAGCAGGCCACACGGGGTCACCAGCGGTGTGTTTGACCGGTAGACGAAACTTAAACTCAAGCATGGTTTCTGGACGCATGTGCGCGTGCCTCTGCTGGTAGTGCATGATCTGCTCGGTGAAGAGGAAACGGAGACAAAGCTTCTTCCGTTGTGGAACTGAAGGCACCCCATGTGTCCAGAGACCTCGGCTGCTTTTCGTGGTCGTGCATTTGCAAAGCCGACGGTTCTGCAGGGTAGCTCGACTGGCGGAACTCTAAGGAAGATGCGACGGTCTCGGAATGTCCGTGACCACGGAATTGCAAAGAGGCAACGGCCGCGCGCATACCGAGGAAAAGCTTGGACGAGTTGACGAAGGAGAGACAGCCTGTTCAGAAGGACATTCTGGGGTTGAAGATAAGCAAGCAGGCAGTGGACGGAAAGGTGCGACAAATGTACTTTCAGAGAGGACTTTCTCAAGAAAGGAAAAGGCACGATGTTTTTAGCATTCACTCGTTAGTTTGTTACACATGTGTTGTGACCCGCATTGCAGCGCTGAAGGGCTTACGTGACTGAGCGCTGGCAGGCAAGGGTAAGGTGAAAGGCAAGGGCAAAGGGAAGACAAAGAAACCCAGTGGCCCCTCGGGCAGCACCGAAGAAATTCTGCGGGAGAAGGTGCCTTTCCGAAGTTTCGCATTGTCCTCATCCGCTGGGCCAGGTCCGCATCTTCCGCGCGCGCGCGCCGGCCACCATGACGTTCAGTTAGGACCTGCGCACTGCGCAGGAAGCCTTCAGTGCAACGCTATGCCATGCTCTGAGGTGTCCAAAGAACCTCTGAGAGGCGAGGTACTGGAGTGGAAATCCAAATTTGGCCCTGGGCTTTGTCTCAGTGTCTCGCTCTCGCTCTTCGCCACTTGGTCAAGACGTCGCTGAAGGATGGATCAAGGCATCCAGCGACATTGACCACCCAATGGCGGAGAAGCGCCAAGGGAAAATCTACATAAACGCGCCGGACTTTGTGGCTGGCGGATTGCCGCACAATTGAGCGCCAAGGGGCAAGCACAAGCAAAGGTGATAGACCTGATCACGCGCAAGTCTTTGGCGCCGGAAACTTTTCAGAGGTTTTTCTAATTTCATGTCAGAAAGCACACAGCCGCTGGCCAAGGCCAGGTGAGGTGTGCGAGCTCGGCCCTCGAGCTGTTTGTTCTCCCTGATCTCAAGAGCCATCCGATCTCGAGCATTTTCCGCTTACTTGCGCAGGTTTCACCTTTACTCAGACGCAAGCGGGCCCCCGCCTCAGTCCAAGCTTGTTCGGCCCGGGATGCCCCAGGAGTTGCATTGATTGCCCAGGCTTGGTGCAGAAGAGTGCTGGGTGGTTGGTGATGAGGTGCGAGCACCGCAGCAGCTTTCGGAGCTGTCCTTGGAACCACGGATGTTGGAGCTTGCTAGATTTTGAAACAAGTCAAATCGACCCAATTTGTTGTGGCGGGAGCTCAAACCTGATGACTACTCGCCGACTGGGCCAATCGCCGTTGTGAACCACCAACCTGTTGATTTGAGATATCACAGATGTCACGTGCGTTGCCCGTTGTCTGGGTACCAGGATTGGAGTGAATGGACGGCAGAGGGGGAAGCTATGGAAGGCGAGGTGCCGAAGGAGTAGTCTTAGGTGCGCTCCGAGTGCATCCCGCGCCTAGGTTCCGACGACTGGCAATGGACTGACGACGACTGGAACCGTTGGCAAAGCAGCAGAAAGCCGAGACCGCGATTTGTTCATTTGCACGTTTGTTTGGCATGTGTGGCCTGGCCTGAGGCGATGGGGGCTCAGAGGTAGCCATCCAAGATTCCATTGAGGCAAATACTCAGACCATTTCCTGAGCTTTCACCACATCATTTGTCGATCCGCTGCAAGGTCCAAGCACAGGATGTTTAGACTGAGGGAGTTACTCATTGCTGCCTGCTCCCGAAAAGACGCGGTTGAATTGCGGCATTGCCAGTGCTGTTCTCACTTCAACTTGATTTGCTACCCAGATGATTTTGCTGATGTGCCGGTGTCCGATGTTTCCTGCCAAGCCGGGTAAGTAAGACAGTGCTGGACGGTGGTCTCCATCATTGCCAGACGGCTGCAGCTTCGGCTGCGTGCTGGGCACCATGCATCAATATGACTGCTCGTTTGTCACAACTCTTGAATACCCAGTCACGCAGGTAGTTGGTTTCAAGATGACACACAGGAACCCGTTCTTCAGGCAAGGCGGGTTGTCGGAATTGTATCACGACTGCCAGCGCTGCATGAAACGATTAGTGCAGATGTTGATCGTAGTGTTGCCGGTTTTGCCTTGGGAAAGCAGTGCTCGGATCTTGACCTTCTTGCCGCCATTTGAGCTGAAGTGGACCGGGCCGTCCGGAAGCCGCGTGGCGTGAGCTGCCTAGCTCGTCTGTGATTGCACTTACCTCACATGTGGCATCTTGTGACTTATAGCATGAGAATCCAAGGGTGGAGGCGGCAAGGCCGCGTCGAACAAGCACACAGCCTGCACTGTGCATCTTGGTGAAATGTTGTATTTTCGTCTGCGAACGGCATGCATCATGTGCAGTGTGAACGCGTGAAACCATGGCCCGCTGTCAAATTTAGAATCTATGAAACGTTGGCTGGAGGCTGCGGAGTGCAAGTGAAAAGACCATGGCTCCCAAGTCTCCCACTTCTAGATTGGATTTCTCTCGCCGAGCCGAAGGCGGTCCGCAGAATATTCCATTCAAGGAAATCCGACAAGGCATCCTTCCGTACGAGGAGGTAGACTTCTCCGGCAACTCTTTGTCGGCCAACGAGCTCCCCGAGGTGATCAAGATTTGCAAGCGGTGCCCCAAACTGCGCGTTCTCAAGCTCTTCAAGAACTGCATCGATGATCATGGAGCTCAGGATTTGGCTGATCTTTGCCGGTCTGCCCCAGGTCTCGAAGAAATTCATCTGTCACACAACATGTTCACAGCAGCTGGTGCGACTGTTATCATCAAGGCGGCAGAAGAATATCGCAGACCAGACACCGTGCCCTTGTGGCTGCGATTGGAGCATAATTATATAGAAGATGCAGAGAGGGTTTTCCAGAACCTTCAGAACCGGTACAGCGTTTGCAGGCGGACAGATGCCAAGTTGTGCGCTGCTCGCACCTGCCACCACAGGTGCAGGGTTCATCTTCCGCACTTCTGCCTGCAGCGGTTGTCCCAGGTAGAGTCCAACCAGGAGCCCAAAAGGTCCCCGACACATGCCAATCAGCACTCGCTGTTCGGGCAGTGCATGCGCAAATTTCGGGCTGATTTGGAGCGTGAGAACAAGGACAAAGTCAAGATTGATTCCCAAATGGAGAGGATGGAGATGCGTGCACAGCCCATGGGGGACCCTCGCATCGAGCCCTTCGACCCACAAGTGGACGATCGAAGACCTTCTTGGACAAGGGAGGCTGCTTGACTTCAAGGAGGGGAGCGCTGCATCGCTGACTCTCAAGAGAGGCCTCTATTAGTGGTGTCTTGATGTGTCTTGTCTTGTCATTGTGGCTAGATAAGGTCTCAGACCGAGATGCGGAGGACTTTGCAGGTTTTCCTGCAGGGCCGCCCCGCGGCCCAAAACAAAAGGAAGTTCACCCAGAGCAGCTTGTGGATCCGGACAGTTGCCAGGAGTTCGTTTGCATGCTTTGTGAAGGAGTGATTCACGATCCAACTCTCACAAGGTGCTCTCACAGTTTTTGCAGCGACTGCTTCCAGAATTGGGTGATGGGCAGAGTACGGGGGCACTTGAACCAGACTGGACCAAAGGCCGGCTGCTCGATGCAGAACATTCCCTGCCCGCAATGTGGTCAAGGATTGAGGAAGTGCGATATCGTTCCTTTGCATCATGCTCGTCATGCCGCTGCCCTTGTGCTGCAACGCTGCTGGAGCAACGTTCGCATCAGATGCATCCATCACCCTCAGCATTTTCAGCATCCGTTCGGACACTATGCCCAACAGCTGTCGCACCACACTGGTGTTGAGTGCTCCTGGCTTGGGAACTTGTGCGACTATGTGTCTCACATAAGCAAGTGTCCAGTTCAGAACTATGACAACGGTGACAACTGGGCAACTGGCGGAGAGAGTCAGGATGGCGGTGAGGCTGAGGTTGCGCCCGTTTTTGCTGAGGATGCTTGGCAGGGGGTTTCTACTTTGGGTCTTCTGCTGCCGGCAAACCTTGAGCATAGGAAAGAACAACGCGACCCTGAGTGAAGTGTTGACGGTTGCAGGGGAAGACTAAATAAAGCCTTCTCAGAAGGAGACCTTTCGTACAGCCAGGTAGGAAGAGGGACGGAGAAGGACGCGGGTGGCGCGGGATGGCATGGGGACGGGTCCACCGGTGTAGCCCCTTACAAAAAAGAGAAAGGAAACACGGCTGACCGTCATGATGCGTCATGTAAATTTTAAGGAGGCTCCTAAGCAATTGGGAAGCGGGGCCTGGCAAGCCGGAGAAAAGTGCAACCCCCACATCTGACCAGATCTCTGACCACGTTCTGCAATTTCACCAGAAAGTTCGCCACAAGAGCGAAGAACTCTTACACACCACATGGGAGGGGTGTTGAGCGACGGCGAAGATGCTGAATCTGGATGCCGGAAGATTTGTTCGGAGCTTCTGTACTCTAACCAGAATTGAGTTGAATCGAAGATGGCGTGTCTGCCCACGTGCAACAAAAAACATCCTGCCACGCTTTTGGCAGTCTTCAGAGCCAATGTTGTAAGAACCAGCCAAGGACGACATCTGCATCGTGCTGTATGATTACACTCCGGACAACAACCCGAACAAGATCGCCCTTTCAGAGGGTGATCTTGTCAGAGTTTACAGGACAGCTTCCAATGGTTGGACAGGTGGTTCCGTCCTAGGCCCCGACATGCAAGATGTTGGCGAGCCTGGCTGGTTCCCAACAAATCTCTTGGATCGCTATGACGAGCGCTACTGGGCTGAGGACAACGCGGGGTACACTTACGAGGAGCAGTATGGAGAGCACATCGGACACGGCGGCGAGCTCACCGATGCGAACCATGATACACACATCGAGGACTACGACCAGGGCCTTGGGGATAGCTCTGGCGAGATGTATGACGATACCTACAACCAAGCAAAGGACAAACCTTATCCTGAGTCGTTTGAAGCTCATTACAATGACTTTGACAAGTCGTACGCCCAGCCTGTGGACAAATTTGGTGAGCCCTTCGAGGAGTACGTGGAGGTAACCATGGCAGATGTGAACTTGCCAAGGCCGAGGCAGTACAGCGATCCAGGCGGCGAGCAGGAGTATGGCGATTCCCCAGAGGATGCATACCCACAGTCGTTTGAGAAGTACGGAAACACGTTCGATCAACCTTTCGACAAGCGTTTTGTTGAGCCTGCAGAAGAGGCATATGCTGAGCCATTCAGTCAGCCTGAGAAGGCCTTCCAGCAACCTTTTGAGAAGCAGCTCTGCGAGCCTTACAAATCCTTCAACCCGAGCTTCGAAAAGCACTACGGGGAGTCTTTGGAGAAGTCTTACGAGGATTCCTACATTCAGTGCTACGACCAGCATTATGACCAATGGTATGACGATACATATGTGCAGTACGGATACACGATGTAGATCGTTTACATGCAAGCATCGTGCAGAAAGTGACGCTTGAGTGTTTCTCGTGTAATTCATGCACCTCGCTGCATCCCTGTGCTAGGTTGCAGGGAAACTGGAACTGGACACTAGTTAGACTGCCCGACCAGCGATGTTGAAGCTAAGCCTTGGTCGGAGGAAAGCCTTTCCTGCTGAACATTCCTGGTACAGCATTGGTCCCAAAGGAAAGTGTTGGTTTGAGCGGTGTCGAGAAGAGATGCCGCAGCATGTTCCGTTAGTCACCCGATTCACAGCTGCTGAACTTGTCCAGCCAGCTAATTGTGGCATTGACATACTTTGTAGCACATTCAACAAAAGCTAGTCTTTGTCTTCTTTGAATCGAAAACTGACATGGTGCTATTGCATGCATGCCGGGTGACATTGTGGCTTTATCGCCGATTTGCTTCGACGCTTGTGGAGTGAGCAGAACTGTACCCAAAAAGAGCCGGGTGAGTCTTAGTTAGTTTGTTGCGGCATGGCCTTGTCAAGCGGCAACGATGACAACACCAACCCAGTGTTGTTGTTGACGCGTGAATTTGCAGGTCCCCGCGCGTCCTGAGTGGAGCTGACAGCAAGTGGTGGCAAAAACAGGTGTGGATCATGATGCGCAGACAAGCCATGCATAGCTAGTAGCTAGTAGACTAGTAGCACCATGCTTGATTTTCCGGCCGCTCCCAGTACACTGCATGCTGAATACTGTGTCGTTTGAGCTGCTTCATAGCTGTCGTTATTCACCCTGTCACCACCCCACTCGGTCCTTGATACGGGGCAAGAAGCTTGGGCAGACTGAGTACAGAGCATGCGACATGGCTTCAGTTGCAGAGGGCATCACCACCATCCATGCTGTGCAGCATCAGGATTGGTTAACTCCACTGAAACTGTGCTTCCCTTCTCGTTTTACAATGGCAATTCTCGAGACGGGCCATGCAGTCCAAGTCTCCACAGTGCAGCGCTGGCTTGCGCAGTGCCACCACTCGGAGAATGGTGCTTGGAACGGCTTGCAGAGACGCATTGAGACACGAGTGTTTGAGGCCATCTCGCTTAGCGAAAACAATGCGGATCTGTCTGCCTCACAAGGACAGCGGAGCGGGAAGCTTTGCCCAGGGATGCTTTCGCAACAAATGCGTTGAACAGAGATCCCCCTTCAAATATGCAAGCTAGTTCCGTGGGCATTCCAGAGCTCACTGCAGTCGCCCGAGCCTGACCAGCGTAAGAGAGGAGCTCCCAGCCTAGGGCATGCACGCACAACTCACATGTCCGGGCTTTCATTGGGCTTGATCGCAAGACTCGGACCGCTTCAAGCTGCTTGGAGGACATCAGCGACGATACAGCGTCGCTTCTGAGTGCTTTGACCTTGCAGTGCTGCAATTTGCAAATGCTCCAGCACGCGGCTTATCATCCCCGACGAGCCGACACATGATGTAGTCGTATGCCTTGCTCTAAACAGCTGCAGCAAGTCACAGAGGCTTCCTGGGAACCGGATCGGCGATCACGGAGTGTCGAGCTTACTTTGCCAAGGCTAAAATGTTCTGCCACCTCGAACCTTTCAGTTTGCACATATGCAGGTTCTTCCAAATCATGGTCTCGCAATGGAACCACTTTACACAACAGGGCTTGTACACAGCGACGTGAAGGAAGGTACCTGGACGTCACTCGTTTTCGGCTGGCCACCTGCAAACAGGGGCAGGACTGTCGGATCGTGCTTATGCGCGTGTTCAATACACATGTTCACCAATGGGGCTGTAAGACCTACCTACCATTACCAGTAGTGGCAGCATTTGGCAGCCTGAAGCTCGCGCTTCCGATTGCACGATTCTTCGCAGAATCAGATTTGTTTCGACAATGGGCAGCACCATTGCAGGGACATGCAACGACCCGCGAGAAGACTGAGAACACAGCCCTGATCCGATTCGCGGCGAAGGCTGACCGTTTCAGGCCAGCGGACTGCCAAAGCTTCCTCGCGGGAAGCCCACGACTTTGCGCAGACGAGCCGCGTCTAGGAAAAAGCTAAATTTGAGGAACCGGGCAGTCTTCAATCCCCTCGTCGAGAAGGCACTTTCTGAGCCGGGGCCGGGGTCCAAAAGGCAAAAGGCTTCTTCAATATTTTGCAGAAGATGCTGCAAAGGCCGTTTTTTAAAGGACGATGTGACAAAAATGATTCACATTTAATTGTGCATTCCTTGGGGAAGGAAAAGATTTTGCAACGCAAACTTGGTTTCCCAACTGCGCTAAAGCAGCTGCTGCTGCTGCTGCTGCTACTGCTACTGCTACTACTACTACTACTACTACTACTACTACTATTACTAACTACTACTACTACTACTACTACTACTACTACTACTACTACTACTACTGCTACTGCTGCTGCTGCTGCTTCTACTACTACTACTACTACTACTACTAACTACTACTACTACTACTACTCTACTACT